TCCTTGTTGGAAAGTGGCTCTTGAGAAAATCAGGGAAAATCCACTCAAGTCACGGTCAAGAGAATCCCTGCGGCCAGCAGAGCTGTTCAGCCAAATCTGGGATGAATGATCACTCAGAGGCAGGCTGCTTGGGGGCGCCTGGGTGGCTCCGTCAATTAAGCATCTGACTCTTGATTTTGGCTCAGGTCATGATCTCATAGTTCGTGAGTTCAAGCCCCGAGTCGGACTCCGCGCTGATAGCACAGAACCTTCTTGGGATTCTCTTTTTCTCTCTCTGCTTGCTTCCCCCCCCCCAACTCTCTCTCTCATAATAAATAAAGAAGCACTACAAAAAGAGAAACATGGAGCGCCTGGGTGGCTCAGTTGGTTGGGCGTCTGACTTCGGTTCAGGTCATGATCTCACAGTTAGTGGGTTGGAGCCCCGCGTCGGGCTCTGTGCCGACAGCTCAGAGCCGACAGCTCAGAGCCTGGAGCTGCTTCAGATTCTGTGTCTCCCACTCTCTCTGCCCCCCGCCCCCAACTTGTGCTCTGTTTCTCTCTCAAAAATAAACATTAAAAATATTTTTTAATTTAAAAAATAAAAAGAAGGGAGAGAAATAAGTGGCTTGCTCAGAGCATCATTGAGAAGGATTCGGGGGCACATCTGGATTTTGTGGGGGGAGGAATTCTAAGAAGTATCAGAAAGGTGTGACAGGTGGGATGAGAGGGAATATTACCCTATTGGCTTAACACAAAAACGATGGCTTAAAGAGCTAACAGGGACATGTTATTAGCTGTTAACATCCCGCCTTGAATTAACTTATTGGATTGGCTGCCCCTCACCTCTCAGGCCTCCAAGGCAATGAAATCACATTATTGGTGAAGTCTCTTTGGGGCTGAGTCTTCCTTTTTTTGTTGTTGTTTTGTTTTGCTTTGTTTTTAGTTGAGATACAATTCACATAACATGCAATGTACAGTTTTCATTCTAACCATGTTAAGGTGTATAATTCAGTGAGTGGCTTTTAGTGTACTCACAAGGTTATATGTGGATCTTCACTCTCTGACTCCAGAATTTTTCCATCACCCACAAAAGAAACCCTGTACCCAGTAAGCATTCACTTCCACCTTTTGGCTACTGCCAAGCATGCTGCTATGAACGTTCAAGTACAAGTTTTTGCTTGAACACTCATTTTCAACTCTTGGGCAGAGTGGTGAGTTTCTCCCCCCATCTTTGGTGATGATGGATCCGTCTGACACCGTCTGGTGGGTGAGTTTTGTTAAGAAGAAATGCGCAGGAATCTCAGTGCTGCTGTGAGCCATCAGTACAGAACCCAATGCGGGGCTCAAACCCACGAATCAAGAGATCATGACCCGAGCTGAAGTCGGACACTCAACTGACTGAGCCACGCAGGTGCCCCTAGGATCCTCTTTTTAAAATTATTATTATTTTTTTTAATTTGAGAGAAAGAGAGAGAGAACACGACCAGGGAAGAGGGGGAGAGAGAGGGAGGGAGAGAGAGAGAGAGAGAGAGAGAGAGAATCTTAAGCAGGCTCCACGTGCAGCACAGTGCCCGATGTGGGACTCAGTCCCACGGCCCTGGAATCATGACCTAAGCCAAAAATCAAGAGTCAGATTCTCAACCAACTGAGACACCCAGGTGCCCCGGGATCCTATTACAGTAATGCTTCCACGCATGCCTATGGCAATGGATTTTCTCTAAAGCATCTTCATCTCTATGAGCTCACCAGGATGAATGAATCAGGCAGAGCAGGCACTATCTGCTGCCCATTTGAGAAATAGGAAATCAAGGCACTCAGTACAACACCTAGTGATAGTAGTCATTCAGTTGGGATTTGTTATGTAAGTGAAGGAGAGTCATATGGAGTCGAAGAATGTCAGAGCTGAGAGGGTCTTTGAGATCATCCGGAAGCCCTCCCCAACAACCCATTTTTGGAGGAGGGATACCGGCGCAGAGCAGGGAAGGTCTCGGGCTTAAATGTGAGGTCAACTGGTTAGTAAGCGAGGGACCCAAGTCCATAGTTTGTCCTCTGTTCTCTTACAGAGTGTCATCAGAACACAACAGACATTGCTTTGTGGTGGTTGTTTGTGTTCTTATCTGTCCTCACCAGTGGGCCACATGTTCCTGGGAGTGGAGCTCCTGGGTATCACATTCATCTCTGTGTCCCCAGGATATAGCACAGTGTTGAAACTTGCCGAACAGAGGCACCGGAAGTGGAAGCCTTTTGCTCTCCCTGGCTCTCTGTTCCTTCTCATTTTGTTGTAGCTTTTAGCAGCAGAGCCAGGCCTCAAGCCTAGCGTCCAGGCTCCTGGGGATTGTTTGCCAGGCCCTCTGGGATAATCCCCACCGTGTTGTTATTATGGAAATCTCTAGAAGCTGAGGGAAGGAGGAAGCTTTCCCTAGTTCAGAGCCTAAGGTCAGTCTGGCTCCTTTCCATTGGGATCTCAAGTCTATCCTGAACGCCGGAACACCCTCTAGGATGTTGTCCAGGTCCCGAGTGGAGGTAGTCGGGAACCAGGGTTTTGGGGGAACTGCGTCCTTCAGCATGGAGCCTGACAGTGGTGGGGGCAGGAGGAGGTGATGGGATTTTCAAGGGACTCTGAGACAATTCCTCGCGTCTCTTGTTTTGTTCTTCCCGGGGACTTCTACTTGCTCCTGAGCACATAGTTGAGGCAAAGCACGGAAGGTGTCATACTGGTTCTCTTGTGGGCTTTGTTATCTGTCCCCTGTCGTCGGGTTCTGCTTGGTGGTGAGCAGCCCCTGTGACGTTCTTCCCACCTAAGCCTCCACTTCCTGCCTCCGGCACCAGCTCCAAGACCCACATGTTGGATCCTGCTACCACCCCCCTGGCCTGGGAACAGCTTCACTTCCTCTGGCTCACCCTCTCCCCGCTCCAGGCCTGCGACATTCACAGAGTGCCGCGGGCACATCGGAGAGCCCGGGGTCAGATGACGGCCATGTTATCAGTTCCATTCCTCCTGATTCCGGAGCAGTTTCCACACAACCTAAGAGCAAAGCCAGACCGTCTTGTCACGTGGGTGAGATGTCCAGGGGCCAGTGATTCTTCTTTGCTCGGTGTCCCTCGCCTTGAAGAGGCCAAGGGAAGGTCTGAGTGCTCAGAAGTGCCTCGGGTAGCCTCAGGTGCCCGCGTGAAGGGGGCTGGTAGCCTGCGGGGTACAAGAAGGGGGAAGCTCAAGTCTTCCAGGCCCATCACGACAGGGAGATCAGGGTGAACCTCTTCCTTCCCATTTTTGCTAAAGGCAAGTCTCTCTTCAGTCCCCTGAGGGGCCATCTTTGGCTCCAAGAGGCCCAGTGTGTGTGTGTGTGTGTGTGTGTGTGTGTGTGTGTAGGTACGTGGTTGTGCTACGCGTTCGAGTGAGTGGGAGCTCTCACATGGGCAGAGGGAGCTGGATTACCAGAGCCCGCTTCTGTCAGGACTCAGATTTGGTTCTTCTGTACGGTGGCAAATTGATGAGGAATCTGATTTTCTTTCTTTCTTTTTTTTAATTTTTAAATTTTATTTGAATCCACGTTAGTTAACATGTAGTGTAATAATGACTTCAGGAGTAGAATTTAGTGCTTCATCGCTTCCACATGGCATCCAGTGCGCATCCCAGCAAGTGGCCCCCTTCATGCCCATCCCCCGTCCAGCCCATCCCCCTCACCCAGCAAGCCTCAGTTTGTTCTCTCTACTTAAGAATCTCTTGCAGTTGGGGAACCTGGGGGGCTCAGTCAGTTAAGCGTCTGACTCGTGGTTTCAGCTCAGGTCATGGTCTCACGGTTTTGTGGGTTCAAACCCCGCATCAGGCTCTGTACTTACAGCATGGAGTCTGCTTGGGATTCTCTCTCTCCCTCTTTCTCTGCCCCTCCCCTGCTTGTGCTGTCTCTGTATCTCTCAAAATAAATAAACTTAAAAAAATTTTTAATGTTTATTTATTTTTGAGAGAGAGTGTGAGCAGAGGAGGAGCAGAGAGAGAGAGGGACACAGAATCAGAAGCAGGCTCTAGGCTCTGAGTTGTCAGCACAGAGCCCAACGCAGGACTCGAACTCAGGAACTGCAAGAGATCACAACCTGAGCCGAGGTCGGACGCTTAACAGACTGAGCCACCCAGGTGCCCCAAATAAACAAACTTAAAAAAAAAAAAGAATCTCTTATGGTTTGACTCCCTCTCTGTTTTTATATTATTTTTGCTTCCCTTCCCTTATGTTCATCTGTTTTGTATCTTAAACCCCACCTATGAGTGAAGTCATATGATATTTGTCTTTTTCTGACTGACTTATTTTGCTTAGCATGATACCCTCTGGTTCCAGCCACGTTGTTGTAAATGACAAGATTTTATTGTTTTTTTTTTTTTTTTTTTTGGCTGAGTAACATTCCATTGAATATATACACCACATCTTCTTTATCCATTCATCAGTCGATGGGCATTTGGAGTCTTTCCGTAATTTGGCTGTTGTCGATAGCGCTGCTATGAACATTGGGGTGCGTGTGCCCCTTCGCATCAGCATTTTTGTATCCTTTGGATAAATACCTAGGAGTGCACTTGCTGGGTCGTAGGGTAGTTCTAGTTTTAATTTTTTGAGGAACTGAGGAAGCTGATTCCCAAAGCGGGCTCTCTGGATGGTGACACAGGTTGTATATGAGAGCTTCCGAGAGAGGACACGGTCTGGGGGTTGGCGAAGTTCCCCTGAGAAGGTTGTAGGGAAGGTTGGTGAGGGTCATCCCATCAGATCTTCAGACCCGAGGCAGCAGCCAGAAACTGTTTGCCAAATAGTTGCTGAGGGTCGCAGCCTCGAGAATGGAGGATGACAACGAGAAGGGTCCTTATCACCAAATGTGTTTGGTCACTGTCTTCTCACAGGCCACTGTTTCGTGGCATTGTATGGTCCCCCTTCTGATAGATCACAACTCCTTTCCCCCCACCCTGAAATGTGGGGTGGGAATAGATACCTCCCTCCATCTCGCCCCCTTGCCTCCCGGCCCACGACCAGCACACTCACCTGCACCAGGTCCGGCGTGAGGCGCTTGGCGTGCAGCCATTTCTGGAACCTTCCTGTTTTCCGCAGGATGCGCTCGATGCTGCAGCTCTTTGGGGCTGCCGCAGAGGCACAGATTCTCCTGTCTGAGATGTCACTTTGCTGTTTGCCGACCAGCCTCGAGACCTCCACGGGGCGCCAGGTTTTGGAATCATCTGAGTAATTTGCAGGGTAGGAAGGTAGGTGGTCGGGCGGCGGTCCGAGGTGGGAGGCCAGCCCGCTGCCAAACCTGGAAGAAGAGCCCTTTTAGGATCTGTCCAGAGCTGGAGTGCTGAAGCGGGGGGCCGGGGTGGGACTGGCCAGCAGAGCCTGGGGACAGGGAGCCGGGAGACAGATACCCAGCCTGCTCCATTTCTCTTCCTTAGCCCTGGGCGCTCCAAACTCCTTCCGTGAGAAGACTATTCTTTCCTCAAGCTCAGGAAGTAAACATGTGATGTCAGAAAAGGTGACGGAGAGGCATATCAGACACAAACTCTCTCCTCTGCGTGCAGCTGGCCCGGAAGGGCTAGCCATGGCCTTCTGACCTTCTCCAGGTGAAGACAGCAGCTTTACGCATGCTGGTACCTCAGGATTCTCCCGATGTCCCACCCCCACTTTACAGATGGGGAAACTGAGGCTTACAGAGCTTAAGCACCTTGCCCAAAGTCAGGCAATACATTGCCAAGCAGAGGAGCAAACCCAGGGCCCTCTGGCAGCAAACCCCACGATCTTTCCCTTCCCTATACTGGTTCTAGAAACAGCCCACCCTCCGACCAATGGCTAGGTCTTGGTACCCCCATTGGTGAAGAGGCTTCTCGGCCTTCACTGGGAAGAACTCTGCCTCTCCATATCCCTTCCCCAAGAGGCCCCATCAATTTTGCTTTCAGTCCAAAGTTTTAAGTCATCCGTACCAACCAGGTCACAGGGAGCAGTGACTGCTAAGCAGTCACCAAACCCAAAGCCATCTGGGATCCAGGAACTGTGTGATTCCACACAGTGGCCTGGCCGGTCCTTAATCCTCCCCAGGGGAGAGGCACTGGCCCATGACCTTGACCCTTTCCTCCAGTCATTCTTCTAGCTGTGTGCCAGTGCTTTCATTAGGCAAGAATGTTAAATCTTCTTCCGATTTATGTATGAAAAATTACCAAGGTAACATTTACTTTCATGATTAATAAAATTCGGCTTATAAGAGATGCCCCATATTTAATTTAAGGAGGAATCTTTTAACTTCCTACTGTCAGACATTATTGGACAACCTCATGGTCATGACTTTTGGAAGAATTCGCATTCTGATTGGCCCCAAAGTCTACACTCTTTTGTTCTCTCACTTAGGTGACACGGCTTTCCCGTAAGAGACTGCAAGCTTAAATTTTTTTCTTTTTAATGTTTTTTATTTATTTCTGAGAGAGAGATAGTGTGATCAGGGGAGGGTCAGAGAGAGAGGGAGATATAGAATCTGAAGCAGGCTCCAGACTCTGAGCTAGCCGTCAGCACAGAGCCTGACGCAGGGCTTGAACCCACCAACCGTGAGATAATGACCTGAGCCAAAGTCCGACGCTTAACCGACTGAGCCACCCAGGCGCCCCAAGAGACTGCAAGTTTAACAAAGAAGGCACTCTAGCGGAAACTGTCAAGAAGTCAATTAGTTCTTCTGCAACTCAGCAGTCCTACTCAAACTGTAGCGGAAGTTGACCCAAAGAATTCTGTTCAAGAACATTGCCACAAATCTATTTAAAAAGATGGGGGCGGCACCTGGGTGGCTCAGTCGGTTAAGCGACTGACTCTTGGTTTCAGCTCAGGTCATGATCTCACAGTTTTGTGCGTTCGAGCCCTGTGTCCGGCTCTGTGCTGTCAGTTTGGAGCCTGCTTGGGATTCTGTCTCTTTCTCCCTCTTTCTCTCTTTCTCTCTCTCTCCCTCCCTCTCTCTCTGCCCCTTCCCCACTTGTGCTGTCTCTCTCAAATAAATAAATAAACTTAAAAGAAATAAAAGTATATTAAGAAAAAAGATGAAAACTTGTAAACAAGCAATGAGTCTACTTCACTGGCATTTTCAGGGCAGCCATTGGAAATGAATCTCCCCTGAGGGGATAAAGAAGGGCAGAGGGCACCCAGGCAGGCCTGTCTGCTGGTTTCCTGTAGCTGCCCTTGCTCACAGGGGTTCAACCCTCCAAGAGGCCTGTGACTAAGGATTTACAAAGGTGGCTCTCTTAGATCGTGATGACAGCAACACACGTGTATGAAACAAGCATGCCAGTCGCTTTGCTAAACACTTTGTGTGTATTAATTCAGTTAAACCTTCCAGCAAACCTATGAAGTCAGTACTATTCTTAGCCATACAGATGAGGAAACTGAGGCACAGAGAAGTGAAGCGATTTGCCCAAAGTCCTACAACCAGAAATTGGAGGAAGCGACATTCAAGGCTCCAGAGCTTGCGATCTCAACTGCTTTGCCATTGCTTAGTCCTCTGTCATCCTTTTTACAAATTACCTTTTGGGAACAGATTGGTGACATTATTAGGGGTTGTAGCTAACAGGGTCCTTAATGACAGGTGACCTGTAATGGACGCGTGGTGCACCTTCAGCGGTGGCACTCAAGGCATCCCATGAGAACCAACTGAGAACAAATAAACAGATTTACAGGCCACTTCTCCCCCCATTCAAAGTGGTAGTGGATTTATGGCATTGAAGGGAAAACACGTATTTTCTTACAATGTTTCATACCTACTTTACTGAGCAGAGAAGTGTCAGTGAGAAAATGGGCTTTGTTTTTTATTCACTAAAATGTTACAGTCCCGGACTTTGGAAAACTGCAAAACAGAGGCAGCATCCTTTTTTTTTTTTTTTTTTTTTAAGAGCGAGAGAGAAAGCACATGTGTGAGTGGGGGAGGGGGTGGAGAGAGAGAGAGAATTCTAAGCAGGCTCCATGCTCAGCATGGAGCCCAACGCAGGGCTCGATCCCACAACCCTGGCATCATGACCTGAGCCAAAATCAAGAGTCGGAATTCAACCGACTGAGCCACCCAGGCGCCCCCAAAGGCAGCATTTTAATCTTCGGTCTGAACTGAGATGATGGGCATGCTTGAAATGAGTCTGGCCAAGCCTCTCATTGGTTCGGAAGATAAACAAGAAGTGTCATAGTTTCCAGAGCTGGAAGCAAGTAGAAAGGTCATACGGTCCAATCTGCGCCAGCCCCTCGACACGGAGAACATGGTGGAGGCGTGGGGTATGGCGACAGTTTTGCAATGAGAAGAAAACACTCTCTTCTGGTGCATGACCCTCATGCTTACATCTAGTCAAACACTAAGTCTGTAGACACGCCTTCCTAAATATTTCTTCCCTCTCTTTCCTCTTCTCCATTCGTCAGCACAGAACCCTCAAAGCATCTAGCATCTTCCCAAAGCTCAAAGGACGCAGCTCACCCTCCTTAGAGGGGTTCACGGTGTTTTTTCTGGGCCCTTCTCCTGCTGCTCTCTTTATGACCTTGCTTCGTTCTCACCAAACCACTGATCATCCTTGGCTAAGCCACATCGTTTCGGGCCTCTCCACTCACCTTGGGCTTCCTTCAGCTTGGTCGCTCAGTGCCTAGCCAAGTGCTTGGTGTCAAGTTAGTGCCACATGCATTTTAGTTGGATGGATGGATGGATGGATGGATGGATGGATGGATGGGTATTTGGATGTATAGACGGATAAGTGAGTGCAGGGATACATGGAGGGCAGGCTGGTTGGCTGTAGAGTGGTGATTGGGTGGAAGACTGTATGGAAGGATGTCTGAATGAATGGGTAAATGGATGGATGGGCCATGTATGTTTGGATTAGTGAATGTGTAAATGGATGCTTTTGTCATAATCTCTGGAGCCCTGAAGCTCCCAAGACCTTTGAATTGATTCGAGGAAAGGAGTTTAAGCAGTGATTAGTATCACCTTCCGAGATGAAAGAAACAGCTGAGGGCAAGAGAGAAGGGAAGGCAAAGGCAAGCCTAATGATTTTCTTGTTTTACTCTGAGCACGCCACTACGCAGTTAGAAGTATTTGAACATCCCTTAAGACTTTGAGAGTGGGGGGTAGGGATGGACGGCCAAGGGAGTACAATAAGGAAGGCGAGGTAAAGCATCTGTGTTGGTAGGAGCCCAGGAATTCATAGGAGCGATTCTGATCAGAAATTCTGCTACTAAGTATCCACCTCCACTTCTCTCCACCACAACCTATTACCTGCACATACACGGGTACTGGTCAGTCGAGTCCCGGTACATCTTGCCTAAGTGTGATCACTCAGGATTTCATGGATAGGTATGTGTTCAGGAGGAAGAATATGCCAATCGGTTTACTCTTTTTTTTTTTTTTTGGCTCCCCTTAACTTTTTCATTCAGGATCTGAAAGTCCACATGGAATGCATGGGAAAACTGGTACTGAAAACATTGAGATGCTCAAAGGTTAATGGTTGAGTATGGGAAGCATGCGATTTATTTATCGTTAGCATTCTTGCCAAAGAGAAGATAAGGGATGGAAGGAATCACGACCGTCATCTACGAGTTACGCATCTTCAGCTTCCCAGGCTCATTCTCTGCTGCTGAACAAACAAGTATTATCCAATTCTTACTGAGGACCTGGCCTGGAATGCTAATGCTTGCCTGGTTATAGCATTTCAGCCAAACATCTGCTCGTTTGGGATGGCTTTTTCCTAAGGTATCGTCATAATAATTGTTATTATTTTTATTATTAAAAATTTTATTTTTATTTATTTACTTTTATTTATTTACTTAATTTAATTTAATTCTTACTTATTTTTGAGAGAGAGAGGTAGAGCGTGAGCAGGGGAGGGGCAGAGAGAGAGGGGGACACAGAATCCGAAGCAGGCTCCAGGCTCCGAGGTGTCAGCACAGAGCCCGACGCAAGGCCTAAACCCACGAACCGTGAGATCATGACCTGAGCCGAAGTCAGACACTTAACTGAATGAGCCACCTAGGCGCTTCATCATCATAATAATTTTTAAAAACGGGAAAATATTTGGAGATGAACAGGATGAACAAACACACCATTTAGACAGAGAGACAAAGGATATGAACTTGTAGACACTTTAGCAAATGAGAAATAGAAATGGCTAGTAAGCTTGAAAAAAAAAGGCTCGACTCAGAAGAAATACAAACTAAAAACAGTAGTAATATTAAACATTTGTGAGTGTGCAATAAATCATCTCTAGGGCCAGAAGTCTACATTTGGATGATATATACATATCATCTCTTAAAAATGTGCTATATTTTTTGACCTAGAAATTCCACCCTTGGGAGTGTGTCATGGGAATTCATGACTGATATGCACAAAAAGTTAGCAACAGGGATGTTCAACATAATATTTTATAAGACTGAAAAGAAAAAAAAAACATAGTTGTCTCATAGTAGTGGATTGGTTAAATCAATTATGGCTGATTTAACAAAGCCATTAAAAATCTCATTGTGGATACATTATTGGCAAATATCTTCTCCCATTTGGTGGATTGTTTTGTTTTGTTTTGTTATTGGTTTCCTTCGCTGTGCAAAGGCTTTTTATGTTGCCAAAGGAGACCTACCTAGAAAAATGTTTCTATGGTCAATTTCAAAGACGAAGAGTTAATAATGTGCAAAAGCGTTCCGGACACATTGTTAAGTAAAGGTTTGCAGAAGAGTGTACACACTATGATCACAGTGGTGTTGAAAGAATGTTAAATCCACACTTAAAAAAAAGGTGGGAAGGATATACACCAGGATGTTAATTGAGGGCTGATCCCTTGGTGGGGGACGGATATGTGATCTTTATTTTGTCTTTTCTCCTATCAGTATTTCCTGAAAATTCTAAACTAAACAAGCATGACTTTTAAAATAAGGAAATAGTTGCTTAAATGGTAAAGAATAGAAACAAGACCCACTCACTGCCTCTCTCTGCTCCTTTGCGCTTGAGGAATGTGCCTTCTCAACGTGGAGAGCCTTCAATGCCATCCTGCCAGCCCCCCCACCCCCATGCTGTCCTGCGTGTATCTGCACATATCCCTTTCAGGCGCGTGTGGAAAATAAATTCCGAGGGAGCTGAAGTAATATCCTGAACCTGAAGGGAACACGGACCTATTTGGGGAAATGCTTCCTGAATATGGCTAACACCCTCCCAGTGAGAAAAACTTCATTTACTGCCACTTGGTGAAGAGTCAACTGTAAGATTCACATACTCTTGTTTATGTACCTAGGGGAGGATGTGGCCCTGGGAGTCTCCTTCAGTTGAATCCCATAACTTCCCTCCCTCCTCTCTGAAAATAAGTCCATATTCTCCCTGCCTCCTTTCTCCAGGGAATCAGGCCCACTTCACCTTTGTTCTTGACGTTCTCCATCCCATCTCTTAGGGGGGAAATCTGTTTTCTTAATGTTTTATTTATTTTTGAGAGAGAGAGAGAAAGCACGAGTGGGGGAGGGGTAGAAACAGAGGGGGACAGAGGATCCCAAGTGGGTTCTGCGCTGACAGCAGCGAGCCCGACGCGGGGCTTGAACCCACAAGCCGCGAGATCATGACTTGAGCTGAAATCCCGTGCTCAACCTACTGAGCCCCCTAGGCACCCCTCTTAGGCGGGAAATCTTGAGTTCACTTTCAACATTTCCAGCTTTACTTTCCATCACGTTGAGTTGAGTCAACAAAATGACTCTCTAGCTGAACTGACCGGCATCCTTCCTGCCCTGCGTTCTTCCCGTTGACCTTTCTCCTGGACGAGGAGAACTTGGTCTGGTTGCCCTTGCCAGCATCAACCAGCCCACCCTGCACACTTCTTTCCATGAGATTCTTCCCTAACACAAGGCACATCTTGTCCCTACCTCCCAAATTCCTTCACCATCGTCTGCAAGAGCTCCCCCAGTTGGGAAGGTCTTTCAACTTTGCACCATTTGAAATGCCTTTTTTTAAAAAATTTTTTAATGTTTTATTTATTTCTAGGAGAGAGAGAGAGAGACAGTGTGAGCAGGGGAGGGTCAGAGAGAGAGGGGGTCACAGACTGAAACAGGCTCCAGGCTCTGAGCTGGCAGTCAGCACAGAGCCCGATGCAGGGCTCGAACCCACGAACCGCGAGATCATGACCTAAGCGAAAGTCAGACGCTTAACCGACTAAGCCACCCAGGCGCCCCCATTTGAAATGCCTTTTAAAAGGGCCTCATGGGAAAAGTCCACATCAATGAAGTATCTGTCATCTCACAAAAGACGTTCCACATTTTTGATTGATAGTTTCTATTGGTTATATCTGTTCGGTAACTTAGTTGAATAATCCAATATGTCTTTGGTGAATCCAGCTTGGAAATCAAATTATTGTAAATGAATGCATTTTCCTTGGTCACCAAATCTTACATGCTTAAGATAGGTCCCTGGGGGGAGGACTGAGGAGAAAGGGCCTATTATGAAGGGTCTTTAGTATCGGAGAGGCGGGGAAACACTGGCCCACAGGTGAAGATCCCAATTCCTTGGCACGGCATTCAAGGTCCCTGCCCCATGTGACTCTTCCAATCTCTTCCATCTGCCACGCCTTGCCACAAGAGCCCCACGTTCCAACAACTAAGTGCTGCTCACCTCTTCCCACACTCCAGGCCATTGCCTTAGCTGGTCCTTCTACCTCAAAACCTTCTCCTGAATTTCAGCTCATCCTTTAAAGGCCTTGCTCAGAATATCTTCCCCTGGAGAAGCCTTTCCCCAGGGCCCATTTGGAATTAATATCCCCTTCTTGGAGCTTTGGGGGGGGGTTCCTCTACATTTCATTTCTGGCTTGCATCAGACCAGGTCCTATTACTGTTATTTGTAACATGGCTCCCTACGCTTGCATTCCAGAGTGGGATACCTTCCTTTGGTGACATCCATGTGCATCACCATTTACTAAATTTGGATTTTCCTCCGGATCAGAAAATTGGCTCAGAAACTTTAGGGTAAACAGTCCTGATCTGAATCCCAGATCTGCCACTTACTAGGTGGTGACCTTGGGCAAGTCACTTAATCCTGCTGTCTCGGTTCACTCTCTGAATAAGTGCAAAACATTAACTTCCAGGATGGTGACCAGGAGTAAATAAAAATAACTTGGCGGCGCCTGGGTGGCTCGGTCGGTTAAGCGTCCGACTCTTGGTTTCAGCTCAGGTGGTGATCTCACGGTTCCTGGGATTGAGCCCGGAGTCGGGCTCTGCGCTGACAGTGCTTGAGATTCTCTTTCTCCCATGCTCTCTGCCCCTCCCCCACTCACACATGCACCGGCGCTCTCTCGCTGTCTCTTGAAATAAATAAGTAAACATAAAAAATAGCTTTCAAATGTCTGTCACATAGTAGGCCCTCTAGCAATTTTATTTCCTCCTTTTTAAGAGAAACGAACTTGGTAAACTCAATAATCCCAGGCTACTCCATTCATAGGAAGGAACACTCTAAGTTCCCACTTCAAAAGAAAACTTGGGATTTAGCATTTAGGGTTAAAATTCAGCTTCGTACCTTCTCCCCCTCTGCACCCCAACTTGAACCGATCGCCCCTGTGATTCAATGCCCGTGCCTCGGCTCCCACCCGTGAATTACACCCTGACTCCTTCCCAACAAACTCCTGGACACACCATCACACGAAGGGAACCGGATTCTGCCCCTCCGAGTTAGCCAACGGAGATTCTGACCTGATTTCTTCTTTAAAGAACTTCTTGCAAATTGATGTCCCGATGCAGGCATTGCATTTGTCAAGACCGAGGAAAGTCCTTCCGAAATTGTAGCTGGTTCTGATTCGGGGCCCCAGAGACGGAGAGGGAGAAGCCGGCGAGGACACGCAACGGCTCAGGGCTGAGACCCACAGGAGCAGGAGCGGCCGGCCCCGGCAGAGGCTGGCAGCCTTAGGCCCCAGCTGGGGCCCCATCTCGGGCTCGGGATCCCAGCCACAGCCTTCAGCTGCCCACTCGGGGCTGCGCGGGGGTAGGTCTTGGCAAAAGACAGGGGGCTGGCTTCAGGGCGCTGACCCCGTCCCAGCCTCCCCGGTTTCTGTTGGAAGATGCTAAGAAGCGGGGGGGCTGACGGGGCTGGGAAGGAGGTGAGGAAGTCCATGGAGGATGCTGATAACATCGTTTCCAGAGTTACTCTTCCTTCGTCTGGGGCGGCTGCCGAGGGCTGGGGAAGGGCTGACTGGCAGATTTTGGGGAGGACAATGGTCAGGGCTTCCCTGTGCAGTCCTGTCGACAAACACAGGATATCCTGGCTCGGCAGGAAAGGCCCATGCAGGATGTATGTCCGACCTGGGCTCCACCTGGGAGTTTTCAAAGGATCCTGAAGGCCTCCGCCCTCTGCTGTTTCAGTTCTGAGTACATCTGTCCCTACGGATCCTTCCCCCCCGCCCCCCACACAGACACACAACCCAACTTCCCCCATCTGCGGCGGACACGTTGGCCTGCCCCATGGCTAGCCAGGCCAGCCCCCCCGTTGACTCTGTTTGGCTATGAAATAACTCGAGGTCGGTTTGCCGGCCGTTCTGTGCCACATCTGACACTGATTCAAATGGCAAGAACTTGTGGCTGCTCGGGGAATAGAAGAACTCAAGCGAGTCCATGCTTCAGCTCCTCTCCCAGGCCTGAGAAGGGAGGGGAAGAGAAGCCAGTGGCCTCTGATGTGATGAGGGAGCACCACAGAGATTCTTTTGCTCCTCCCCACCACGGCCGGCCGGGTCCCTCTTCCCTTCCCCATCCTGCCTCACTTCTCCATGGCCTGCAGGACTCGGTGGCATTTCCTGCCGCATGACTGACAGCAAGATAAGGTCCACCGCATGGAGCGGAAGGGAGTGTTAATTTCGGAATAGCGAGAGAGCGAGCCTGTGAGGACCAGATCAGGGAACGCAGGCTTGGGATAGGAGAGGAGGTGGAAAGGCAGATAAGACTGGGCGGAGGATCAGGAGAATTGGCAAGTTTTGCTAAAGCTTGGCGGGAAGAGCAGGCTAACGGCAGTTCTCTGATGGTTAAACACGCGCTTATTCTCGAATTGTCTCTCCTCCTCAGTGAAATGTCTGGCTGTGTGTGTGTGTTTTTAAGAGGTACAAACTTCAAGTTCATCATTCATTCGTTCGTTCGTTCATTTGTTCATTCATTCATTCATTCATTCATTCATTCATTCATTCAGAGAACATAAGCAGAGGAGGGGCAGAGAGAGGGAGAGAAGGAATCCCAAGCAGGCTCTGGGAGCCTGATGTGGGGCTCGAAGTCAAGAGCCGTGAGATCATGACCTGAGCCGAGAGCAGGAGTCAGACACTTAACCGACAGAGCCACCCAGGCGCCCCTTGTGTTTGTTTTTAATTCTGGAGTCGTGGGAATTTTTTATATAGATACGAGTTCCGTGTTGGATATGTGGCTTGCAAATATTTTCTCCTGGGTGGCAACTTGTCTTTCACCTTCTTAACAGGGTCTTCTGCAGAGTCAACATTTCCAAAAAATATTTATTTATTTATTTATTTATTTATTTATTTATTTATTTATTTATTTTTTATGTGTGTGTGTGTGTGTGTGTGAGAGAGAGAGAGAGAGCGCACACACAAGAGGCAGAGAGGCAGAGAGAGAGGGAGACAGAACCCAAAGCAGGATCCAGGCTCCGAGCTGTCAGCACAGAGCCCGTTGCGGGGCTCGAACCCAAGAACCGTGAAATCACGACCCGAGCCGAAGTTGGATGCTTAACCGACTGAGCCACCCAGGCACCCCCAGCGTCAGCATTTTTAATTTTGATGAAGTCCACGTTGTCACCTTTCCCTTTTACGGATCATGCTTTTAGTGTCCGAGAACTCTTCACCTAGCCTAGGTCCCAAAGATTTTTCTCGTTCGATTTCTTATAAAAGTTTTTATGGTTTTACGTTTTACATTTAAGTCTTTTGAGTTAGGTTTTGTGTAAGATGTGGTTAGGTCAGGCAAGGTTCATATTTTTTGCCGATAGATATCCAATCTCTCCAGCACCGTTTATTGAAAAAACTATCGTTTTCCATTGAATTGCCTTTGCACCTTTGTCAAAAATCAGTTGTCTGTAATTGCAGGTGGCTATGTCTGGATTCTCAATTCCATTCCATTGGCTTATGTGTCTATTCTTCTGTCAATGTCACACAGTCATGATTATTGTAGCCATAGACTATGTTTTGAAATCGGGTAGGCTGATTCCTCCAACTTTCTTCTTTTCCAAAATTATTTTAGCTATTTTAGTTCACTTGCTTTTCCATATAAATTTTAGAATAATCTCATCTATATCTGTAAAAATCTTGCTGGAATTTTGACAGGGATTGAGTTAAATCTGTATATCAATTTGGGGAGAATTGACTTCTTTATTATGTTTAGTCTTCAATTGCATAAACGTGTTATGTCCATTTACTTAGATTTTTGTTTCTTTCGTCAGGATTTTGTGGTTTTCAGCATCTAAGTCCTGTACATTTTTTTCTTTTTTTCTTTTTTTTTTTTTTGAGAGAGAGAGAGACAGAGAGAGAGAGAGAAAGTGGGAGAGAGGGGCAGAGGGAGAGAGAAAGAAAATCTTAAGCAGGCTCTATGTTTATTATTTCTTTCCTTCTGCTGGCTTTGCATTTATGGTGCTCCTCTTTTTTGAGTTTCTTGAGACAGGATCTTAGATGACTTATTTGACAACTCTCCTCATTTTGACATAAGCATTTTACATGAGAAATGTATCGTTGGACACTACATTAGCTGTAGCCCACAAAATTGGACACATTGTATTTCTTTTCTTTTTTTTTCAATAGTTTTTTGCCAAGTTGATTTCCATACAACACCCAGTGCTCATCCCTGCAAGTGCCCTCCTCCATGCCCATTACCCCCCCTTCCCCTCTCCCCACCCCCAACAGCCCTCAGTTTGTTCTCAGCATTCAAGAGTCTCTCATGGTTTGCTTCCCTCCCTCTCCCCCACTATTTCCCCCCTTCTTCTCCCCCATGGTCCTCCGTTAAGTTCCTCCTAATCCTCCTATACGTGCAAACATATGGTAGCTGTCCTTCTCTGCCTGACTTATTTCGCTCAGCATAACACACTCAAGTTCATCCATGTTGCTACACATGGCCAGATTTCATTCTTTCTCATTGCCATGGAGTATTCCATCGTATAGATGAACCACATCTTCTTGATCCATTCATCTGTTGATGGACACTTAGGCTCTTTCCATGTTTGGGCTATTGTTGAGAGTGCTGCTGTGAACATTGGGGTCCATGTGCCCCTATGCATCAGCACTCTTGTATCCCTTGGGTAAATTCCTAGCAGTGCTACTGCTGGGTCATAGGGGAGTTCTATGGCTAATTTTTTGAGGAACCTCCACACTGTTTTCCAGAGGGGCTGCACCAGTTTACATTCCCACCGGCAGTGTAGGAGGGTGCCCGTTTCTCCACATCCTCACCCACATCTAGAGTTCTCTGATTTGCTCATTTTAGCCACTCTGACTGGCGTGAGGTGGTATCTCAGTGTGGTTTTGATTTGTATTTCCCTGATGATGAGTAACGTTGAGCATCGTTTCATGTGTCTGTAGGCCATCTGGATGTCCTCTTTGGAGAAGTGTCTGTTCATGTCTTCTGCCCATTTCTTCACTGGATTGTTTGTTTTTCGGGTGTGGAGTTTGGTGAGTTCCTTATAGATTTTGGATACTAGCCCTTTATCTGATATGTCATTTGCAACTATCTTTTCCCATTTCATCGGTTGCCTATTAGTTTTATGGATTGTTTCCTTTGCTGTGCAGAAGTTTTTAATCTTGATGAGGTCCCAATAGTTCATTTTTGTTCTTGATTCCTTTGCCTTTGGGGATGGGACACACTGTATTTCTATTTGCATTCAGTTCAATGTGCTTCAAAAATGTCCCTTGAGACTTCTTCTCTGACCCATGAATTATTTCAGTGTGTGCTGTGTAGTTTTCAAGTGTTTGGACGTTTTTCTGCTTTCTTAATGTTACTGATTGTCAGTTGGATTCCACTGTGGTCTGGAAATACACTCTGTATCATTTAAAGTCCTTATTTCAGATTTGTACAGGTTTATTTATGGTCCAGGATATCTGTTTTGGTGTATGTTTCATGAGCTCTTGGAGAGAATGTGCCGTTGGCTCTTGCTGGCCTGAGTGTTGTATAAATGCTGATTACGTCCTGTTGGTTGACATTTTGTTGGTTCTTCTATGTCTTTGCTGGTTTTTATCTAGTTGCATATCCATTGTAGATGGACTATAATTGTGGATTTTTCAATTGTATCAGTTTTTGCTCTACACATTTTGTAGCTGTGTTGTTTAGTGTACACCTTTTTAAAAAACTCTTTTTAATGTTTTATTTTATTTTTGAGACAGAGAGAGGTAGAGGATGAGCAGGGGAGGGGCAGAGAGAGAGGGAGACACAGAATCTGAAGCAGGCTCCAGGCTCCAAGCTGTCAGCACAGAGCCCGACGCAGGGCTCGAACCCATGAACCGTGAGATCATGACCTGAGCCAAAGTCGGGGGCTCAACCGACTGAACCACCCAGGCACCCATAGAGTACACCTTTAAGATGACTATGTCTTCATGATGGATTGGTCTTTTAATCCCTATGTAACATCCCTCTCTGTCCTTGACAATTTTCTTTGCCCTGAAGTCTACTTTATATGATATTAACACAGCTATTACTGCTTTCTTTTGATGAATGTGTGTGTGGTACATCTTTTTCCATCTCAACCTAATTACTGTTATATTCGAAACATGTTCCTTGTAACAATACTGTTGTGTCATGCTCTGTTTATTTTACTTTTGATCCACACTGCCAATCCCTGTCTTTTCATTGGTATATTTAGATTATTAACATGTAATGCAACTATTGAAAATTAGGGCTTACATATGCCATTTAATTTTACTTTTGTTTGTTCTGTCTGTTTTCTTTGTTCTGCCTTCTTGGGGACCACTTGAACATTTTAGAATTCCATTTTGAGTTATGTATAGTGTTTGCTTTTTTTTTTTAATGTTTTTTTAAATTTATTTCTAGGGGAGAGAGAGAGAGAGACAGCGTGAGCAGGGG